GATTATTATTAGGAGGAATGGTATATTGACAGCATTTGTTGTGCGGTTTCTAACAAAGTAGTTGTAACAGGTCAGATTATTTAGAAGTTCTTGGGAGAAGACTGAGCTAAAGCTAAACCTTGATCCCTGAATAGAACAGGAAGAGAATCATTCCAGTGGAAAGGTCTGCATGAATGGTCATGGATGTAGGTGTTAGGTTAGCATGCTTTTAATAGAGTGTGATAGAGAGAGAGAGAGAGAGAGACTGTATTCAAATTGAGGAGTACTGAGCAGGATGGAGAATTTTTGAAGTTTGTACTAAGGAGTTTGCATATCATTGTTGGTTAGGTTTCTGACATAAGAGATTTTCCTTCCTCTTGTTAAATCTACTCATTGTTGAAATTCAGTCAATTTGACATCATTGACAATTTAGTATGATTGGTGAAGCATTTGTTGACTAGATGTGAAGTTACAAAGCATGCCTCCTAGACATGGAGATTCCCTCCTGCATGCTGAGATTCTGCTGTCAGCCACAAGAGGGATGGGTTTGCCAATGGTTAGGTTCTCCTAAGAGTCCCAGGGCTGAGAGTGTATAATACAGTATGTTTTTTTTACAAGTATATTATTTATTTAAAAAGCATGATAAATATTTAACTACACACAACAAGTTAAATACTATGTAATTAAAACAGAAAATATGGAACCAGATAAGAAAATTAAACACAAAGTCTAAAAATTAAACGTGGTAGTCTCTTGCTACTTCAGTGTTAACAGTAATTATTTCACTTAATTATGTTTTTCTGTACTGTAAGAATGAACCCATTACTTCTTTCCAGGAAGTGAATTCTGGTATTAAAAGTCCTAGGTGCTTGCCTAACCACAGTCTTTCAGCATAAGATGCCCTTGATACTTGAGTATTTTTTTAAAAAATCCTTTATGGTACTTTCCAGCTTGTTTGCTAACTTTGTTCATATTATTGACCTTTTGTTAATTGCTGGACTCAAAGAAGGCCTAAACAGCTTCTCTCGTCTCTTTATTCCCCTTATAGAACCAAAGGTAACCACTATTAACGTACCACTATTTCTCAGTATTTTTATGTTGCGATCATAAATAAAATTTTACATTTTGCTTTTTATACTTTAACATACTTTCATTAGCTTTGGAAACTTCCTAATTAAAAGTTTTAATGGTTTCACGATATTCCATCATCTGGATATCACACACTCTCCTCACATTTCAGGGATCAAGTTATTACCTGACTTGCGACAACCTGACCTTCAACTCTGATCTCAGGTAGATACCACATTCCGGTCCAGATACCTGGCATACCGTAGCGGGGATATGCTAGTAAATTGAAGCTGTTTCTTTTTATCACTAAGAAGAGCCTTGGGGTTGGAAGATACACCAGTATATATTTCTTGCATTGAATTTCATTTTACAATTGCATGGTACTTATTATTACTTACTATTTATTTCACTAAATTTTGGTGATTAGTTATATGTTAATTATATGGTATAACATTTTAAAAAATAACATTTGCTTACTCTTTTAACCTGAGTGTCACTTCTAATTATAATTTGGCAAGCTTAAGACTGGGTTGGCATTTAGGAAAACTGTTTTTACTTGGGTATCCTTATTTGAGTTGCTTAAGCAATTCCTGTTCCTCTTCAAAGGAGGAAGGTAGTCAAAATCCTCCCAAAAGAAAATAGGTAGGACTTTATTCTGAGATTGACTTTGCTGTTTGTTGAGAAAAATAATTCGAGTAGAGATGGATTATGCTACCTCTTGCCACTCAGGCTTATCTTCCGTGACATAGGGTGAGATGCTTAGAAAGACTTGCTTTTAATTTATGGTGGTTAAAGAAGAGCACTCTGTGTACTCACAGAAGTGGCTCTACAAAGGGCTGCTTTGAGCCTAATACACTTCAAAGTCCTTGCCTGTGCCCGGATGAAGGTTACATGTGAATGCAGGATGATACCATCCAAATAATTATTTCCCAACAGGTTTAGCCTAGGAAAGACTGATCTTACGTACTAAAAATCTGCTTAAAGAGGGAGGGCTATTTTATTTCTCATGGTGATCTGTTTATTTCCATTTACAATTCAAGTATGAATGAATTAATCCAACCACTGTGTGGGCTTCTGTTGAACTTAGTATTTCAACTCTCTGAAAATGGTAACAATACCATTAGGATAAAGGATCCTAGAAAGGTAGACACTAAACAGACTAGCTATGTAAATCAAAATTTTTAAAAAATTTACATTTCTTCTACATGAACATACACCAAATATAGATGATTTGGCACATCTTAGAGTAAGAGCCACATTCTTTTGTAGCTTTAGTATCTCAGAGACACTTTATTTGGGGGAAGGAAAGTTCTTTAGTTTTATCTAGAAGTTAATAGCAGATCTGAATGCTCACGGTTTCTAGGATTTCAGTGTTCTTTGTAAAGTTTTGGAAACAAAGCCTTAGGATGATAGGGTACTTGGTGTCTACTTTCAGGATTTATCATGACAGTTACACTTGTAAGATCAATACAGAATGAATCAGAACACAGATATGCAGAGTCACTTGAGGAACCAGTCTGGCTCTCAGGCCTGCAAGAGTTGATTGAAACCTGTTGGAATATAAAACTGTGTCAGTCAGGCCAGATTAGCCCTGAGGAAGCGTAGGAGATGGAGAATCCACTGAAGCAAAAGTTGGCAGTCAGTTGGCCTCTATGATGACAATCTCTCACAGTACAACAATAAATGGCACACCTCAGTGCTGTGTGCATCTTAGTTATCTTGAAATGTCTCTCAGGACTGGTTTAGAAATAGAACAGGTGAATGGCCAACAGATAAAGGAAAAGGTCATCCACATGATCGGTCATCAGGGAAATGCAAATCAGAATCACAATGAGATGTCACACAATTGGAGATGAGTTTGACATCTATCAGAAGGGCTGGCATCAAAAAAGCAAGAGATAACAAGTGTTGGCAAGGATATAGAGAGAAAGGGACCCTTGTGCACTGTTGCTGGGATTGTAAATTGTGGCAGCCACTGTGGAAAACAGTATGGAGATTCCTCAAGATATTAAAAATAGAATTATCATATGGTCCAGCAATTCTCCTTTTGGGTATATATCCAAAGGAAACAAAATCATTATCTCAGAAAGATATCTGCACCCCCATGTTTACTGCAGTATTATTTAAAATAGCCAAGACATGGAAACAACCTAAGTGTTCACTGACAGCTGAATGGTTAAAGAAAATGTCACACCACACATATATACACACAGGAATATTATTCATCCATAAAGAAGGAAATCTTGCTATTTGCAACATGGATAGACCTTGAGGGCATTATGCTAAATGAAATAAATCAGAGAAAGACAAATACTGTATTATCTTATTTACATGTGGAATCCAAAAAACCTAAACTCATAGAAACAGAGAACAGATTGGGGTTTCCCAGAGGGAGGGGTTGGGAGGTGGGCGAAATGGTGAAAGGGGTGCAAAGGTATAGACTTCCAGTTATAAGATAAATAAGTTTTGGGGATGCAGTGTACAGCATGGTGACTATAGTTAACTGTGCTGTATTCTATATTTGAAAGTTGCTAAGAGAGTAGATCTTAAAAGTTCTCATCACTGTATGAGGTGACAGATATGAATTAAACTTACTGTGGTAATCATTTCACAATATATACATAGATCATTATGTTGTATACCTTAAACTAATATAGTGTTATGTGTCAATTATATCTCAATAAAACTAGGGGGATAAAAGAAAGAACAGGGAGTCTGGTGACTCAAATGTTTAATGACATAAGGTTAAAAAAGCCTAGTGTCTCCCAGTTTGAATAATTTCCTGGTCTCAAGGCCTTCAGAGAAGAAGACCAGAGTGAGATACATCTGGCTTTCCCTTTTTAGATGATTCTCCTGTACCAGACCTAGCTTCATTTGTTTTATTTTATTTGTCTGCCTTTCTTTACTCTACTCATCCACTTTTTCAGAATGGCTCAGAAAGTGCACAAAATGTGCAAGAGGTTCGTTTTGAGTGCTGATAGAATTAGAAAGATTTCCAATTCAAGACCCTCCTACCTATATATGCATTTAAATGATATTAAAATAATTATGGGGAAAGTTCCTCGAAGAAACTATAACCATTCTATGACTGTCCTTGAAGAGGAAAAGAGTAGTATGCTAATGAGAAATGAAAGGGCTAGGTCAAGTGTGCAACAAAACAATTGGAGATGAGTTTGACACCTCATCTCCTCATGTTTTCCTTCCCCAGGTTGAGTCGGTGCATTCAATTCTTTTCACTTATTTGCAGCTGGTTTTTATTGGGTCAGAAGCTGTGTTGAGAAAATGCTGAGATTTAAGAAGAATCTTAAAGATCATCTAGGGCAGCCATTTTCAAACTTTTCCACTAAAGTGTTTCAGATAGTCCAGGAGAAAAAATCAATATTTGATTGATTTGGGGACATGTCCCAAGTGACTCAGTGCAAACTTAAGACATTTTGGTCTCAATTTTAATTTAAAAAATCGTGGGGGAAAATCATGGGCAATAGTAAAATATTTATGTACAGATATATGTACTTAATACTGGAAATATAGTTAATAAAAAGTTGTTTTTTGGCTTTTTTGTTTGGCAAAAGATTTCTGCTTTTGAGCACATGCCCTCATTCCCTTTATGTATTGCCCATGTAATGTCATTGTCCAGAAGTGGATCTTAATGGGTCACACTCCTAGAAACACAGGGTTATAGGCTACTTATGTGAGGGTGGAGTGGTAGTAGATGAAGATCACCTTACAAAACACAATATGCCATGTAAATATGAGGATTTAAAAAAAAATCTTAGTGTTCTTTACAACTTCAGTCCTCTCAGAATTGGGTCTTAACACCCAAGTAAAAAATTAATGGAGGAGAGAATGTTAGGATGTAGGGCAGGAGGTTTCTTGTTTTAGACTTTCCTTGACATGGTCAGGATCAGGTACAACAAATTAACTAACCATTGGTATAACTGATGTCTTTGCAGGAGGGAGCACTGGCAGTTGCTGGGTAATTTGAAGACTACTGTGGAGGGTTTAGTATCAGCCAACAGTCCCAATGTCTGGTCCAAGTATGGTGGCCTGGAGCGGCTTTGCAGGGACATGCAGAGCATCCTCTATCATGGGCTTATCCATGACCAGGTATGTGGACACTTTCTTTTCTTCTTTCTTGCCAGGTTGGCTGAATCACTTACTAGAAAGAAACAGTTGCATTAAGTTGTTGGCAGGGGGAAGATGAAGGCAACTAGTCTGTGAGCCCTTGAAAGCAGGACTGTGATACGATGGTGATGAGGAGGAGAAGGAGGATGATGAATCGAGATATTCCTCTTAAGAGTGACCTAGGATGTATCTGAGAAATATTTACAGGTATTATCATTTTTAGGATATCCTATGAGCATCATTTTACAGATAACTGGTTGATGCTTATGAATGGTAGTTTTAGTTATAGCTTACATTATTTTCTGTATAAACTTTATTGATGTTGAGTTTCTTTTCCTTAACATCCTCAAACACTCTAATAAGCTTTGAGTATTAAAAATGAGGGGAATCTAATAATACTCAATGGTTTCTGCTTTACCTTTGGCAATTACTCTATTTGTAGTTTTAAATAAGGTTTGGTTCTGGATAAAATTGTCAAGTGGGTCATTGGGTCTGATCCTCCTAGTTAAAAAAAACCAAACCTCACAAATACATGCATAATTTGTATTCCGAATACTCATGCTCTTCCCATGTCAGGGCCTAGTATTCTTCTCTGAAACTCTTTCTTCTGAGCCAGGCTTGTCTTTGTTTTTTTATCAGAATTTATTTTTAATTAGCGCCACACTGGAAAATATCTAATCAAATGATTGATATTAAGATATTCATAGTTGATAGAATTTAATATGCTATCCTCCCTTCTAAAAATAAGTGTATATTACCTCTGAACAAACTCTTTAAACCAGGTTTCTTGTTGGTATTTTCAGCATTCAGTGGAAAAGTTGGCTTAGGTTAGATTTTCTTTTTTTTGTGTGTGTGTGTGTGTGTGTACCACTTCTTTATCCAGTCATCTGTTGATGGACATTTAGGTTGCTTCCATGTCTTGATTATTGTAAACAGTGTTGTTGTGAACATTGGGGTGCAGGTATCTTTTCCCATTAGAGTTTCCTGCAGATATATACCCAGGAGGGGGCTGCCGGATCATATGGTTAGTCTATTTTTAGTTTTTTTAAGGAATCTCCATATTATTTTCCATAATGTACTTATCCTTTTAGTTTGCTTTTATTTTCACAATTTTTAATTCTATCATTGAAGGTCTACATGATTTTTTCCATTTATCTTGATGGAGGTGGATCTTGGTGTTAGGTGTTTCCAAATAAAGCCTGATCGGCTTTGCCAGTTTTCCCAGTTGCTACTTCATTTTTTTTTTAAAGGTTTTAGATTTTCTTTATTCAGAGTAAGTTCTGAAAATGAGAGACCCTCTTTCTTAAAGAGTTTTGAAGATATGGGGAAAATTTCTAGCCTTTAAAAAGCTGACTTCTCAATGGCCATCATAATTAAAACATCATTCCAGGAAGTTGGAGGCAACATTGTGGGGGTAACAGAAGTGTTTGGAATCAGACAGAATGCAGATTGAAATTGCTCAGGTCTTTGGTGGGGGGAAATGACATAGTAGTTATAAGTATAGAGTTTTGAGTCCGACTGCTCTTGTTTTAATCCCAGCTTTACCACTATATGGTATTAGGTGAGTTACATAACTCTATGCTTCTGTTTCCTCATTTGTAAAATGAAGAGATGACTCTACCTCATAGGGTTGTTGTGAAAATTCAATGAGGCAATACCTGAAGACGTCTTAGAAAACATAAAAAGTTGTCTTTTGGTCTTAATTATTAGGTGATATTAACTTTTTTGAGCCTTTTCTTATCCGTAAAAATGATGATAATATTATTTATATCATAATGTTTGATAGATTAAATGAAACAGCATAAAAATTTGCCTAGCACAGTTCATGGTACATAAGAAGTAATTAATAATAAATGTTCCTTTCATTTTTTTAAGTTCAAGTTACATGTAGTCCTATGAAAAAAATTACGGCCATTGAAATTTACAAAATAAATAAGTTATCCCATTGAAACCTGATTCCTGCCCTAACCACTGATTTTCTTGCTACTGAAGTCTAAGTAAGTCCATGTTACCAAATCCAGTGAACTTTACTCCTTTGCACACTGTCTTATGTTCTCCACTGTTGACTATCATCAGACTTTGACTTGTGTGGCATTATTATCTTCCGATGTCATAGAGATCTTCTTCCACCTCTGTGACCACCTTCTTAGTTTCTTCCCTGGAATCTCTTCCTCTTAGATTTTAGTTCTTAATGGAGTTCAGTCCTGTGTCCTTATCTCTTTGTACATTTTCCTGAAACAATCTCATTCATTTGCATTGTTTTAACTGTCACTTGTAGACTAACAACCCCCAGCTCAGACATCTCTGCTGATCCACACGACAAGCTCTCCACTATACATTATTATCTGGGTGTCTGTCCTACAGGCCAAGCACAACATGACCCAAAACAAACTTACTTTCTCTCAAGGTTGCCCTTCCTCCTGATGTTTTTAATACTAATCTGTGGCATTGCTAGCTACTCAGTCTCCCAAGCCAGAAATGGGAGTCACATCAACATGTTTTACCAAAAACCCTTACAGGTTTCCCAGACTGGTGACCTAGATAGCTGCCAGATTAGAGGCACTGACATTTAGTGGTTAAAGTGCTTGCATCTTGATAACAAAAAAGTTCTTTTCTTGGTTCTGTTACTAATTGCACATTGTCATCTGGAGTAATCACTTCACTATGTTACAAGGCAGTTCTACCATCTGTGCCAAAAAGAGAAAATGTGTCATGATGAAATAGTGAAGTCAGTGAAATTCCCAAATGAGAGATGCTTGGTAAATGCAAAACAGTCTTACTGTTATTAGTAATAATATCTTTGAAAGCTCCTAGTCATTAGAATGAAAATATTAAAGTGTATGGTCACCTGCAAAACAGCAATACTGTTAATAAGTGAAAGCAGAGCAAACCAGGCAAATCTGTCACACACACACACACATTTAGCAACAAGAGGCTCCAGTGGGAAGAATCAAAAACGAAAGTTGCATACCAGTTTCACACTGCTGCTGTGTTCTGCCTTGTATAGACCTAAAAATTAAAGTCTATGTTAGGGATTGTTTTTCCCTTTCATTTCCTCCCTAAAGATTAAGGCTTTCAAAGGCTTCTGGCTGCTGTGTCATCAGGAAGCTATTCTGGGTGTTGTGCCCTTGGAGGGGGAAGGGATACAATGATTCATGCTGGTCGTATCTCTTCTGTGATTTCATTAGGGATGTGTCATGGAATGTGCAGTGTATTTTTGTAAATCACTCAGGGCCTTAGGAAAGCTATAGCATCATGGTCATATTCTTAGAGAGACCTCATTTTCCTTGGCAGTCTGGCTTTAGTCGGGGCTACCTTTTAGTCTCTCTATAAGGCAGGGCATATTTGATAACCCCTTTTCTGTTGCTTAGAAATGTGGAGACATTCAATCCCTGAGATTTCTCAGCTGAATAGGAGAAGTGCAAAGATCCTCTCCTTCCTTCACCACTTAGACGACACCTATACGTGGCAGTACAGATGGCCCAGTTTAAAAAGTAACAATAAAAGCAAAAAAGACTATTTTTCTTTTCTGAATATATGAGTAATATACGTATTTTTATTTGCTGAAAATTTAGAAAATACCAAAAAGGATTTAGAAGAAAGTAAGTTATTACCCATAGTCTCAACATCAAGTAATAATAATCACTAACATTTTGGTAGATTTTCTTAATTTTTTACACATTTACACTTTTTTTTTTAAGATTAAGATTGTTGTAACTGACTATACTTCAATTAAAAAAATAAATTTAAAAAATATTATGATTGTACTGTATATTATCACTCTGTAACTTGCTTTAAAATATTTAATTTTTGAAATAGAGATTTACATGTTTAAAAAAACGAAAAGTATAAAACCATATATATGCAGTGAACCATCTTGTTTCCTTCCAGTTCCATAGGTAAACACTGTTTTCCAGTTGCCTTCCAGAGAATTTTTATGCAGTTATAAAAGCAAGTATTAATAATTTTTGCTATGCCTTTTGATTTGTCATATAAATAAAAGCAGACTATAATCACTATTCTACACCTGGCCTTTTTTCACTTGATTTATCTTGTAATTTATTCCAACTCATTACATAAAGAGCTTCTTCATTTTTCTTACAGCTGTCATTTTGATAATATTCCATTCTCTGTACTTACCATAATTTACTTAGTCAGTCCCCTGGTAATGAACATTTATATTGCTTCCAATCATTTGCTATTAGTAACAATGCTACAGTGAATAACCTTGCGTGTAGGTCATTTTGCCCTTTACCATAGAAGTAGAATTCTTAGGCTAAAGGGCATATATATTTCAGTTTTGATAGCTATGACTAAATTGCCCTCCACCAAGTTATGTCGGTTTACACCCTCACCAGCATTGTATAAGAATATCTGATTCTCCATACCGTTGACAATATAGTGTGCAATTAAACTTTAAACCATCGCCAATACGATAGGTGATAAGTTACATTTCTCTTCTCTGGAAGATTGTTTATAAGAGCCATTAAATTTTTTTTATGAACTTTTCCCTATATTTCCCCCATTTTCCTTAGATTATTAGTCTTTTCCTACAGATTTTTTGTATCTCTTTATTTTTTAAGGAAATTAGTTATTTGTCTCTAATGTGTATTGCAAATATTTTTTCCTGTTTGTCTTTTGACATTTCTTATGATGGCTTTTACTATGCAGAAATACCTGTTTTTAGTAAGTCAAATCAATCAGTTCTCCTAGGGCTTCTGGGTTCTGTATAATGTTCTGAAGGGGCATCCTAACTCTACAATTATTAAAAATGTTTCTCCATGGTTTCTTCTATTACTTTGGTAGCTTAATTTTTACATTTAAACCATGCTATCTGTGATTTTTTTTGAATATACTTAATTCCCTTGGCACATGGATCTATTTCTGGATTTCTCTTATGGTCTGTTCTCTCTTTGTGTGCCATCACCACCCAATTTTAATTATGGTAGCTTTTCATTATGGTAGAAGTAGTCCCTCACTCACAGAGCATCATTTGTTGTTGATTTTTTCCCCCAATATTCACACATTTGTCTTATATTTATTTGTTAACTACCACATCATGTTTTGATGAGAATAGGAAAAGTGTTCTTATACATCATGACCTGCATCATTAGCTGATTGATTAAGTGAGGGGAATTAAACATTTGTAAGATACATCACTCAAACATTTTATTTTAATTTAAAACATCTAAATGTACACTTAATCAACAGTCTTTGGGTATGGAGCCAAACCTTTTCTGTGAGTATAGATCCACTGATGGAATTCCACATCATCTTTCTTGTATATATTGCACCAATAATTTATCATATAGAACTTCCAGTTTTAGTTTCTTTATGATGGACTAGGAACTTAAAGATCCTGTAATGTGAATATAAAATCTATATTTTTAGAGGTTTTTTTTCACTAACTTTGAAAGTTGTCTTGCCCTTACATAATTTGACATCAAGTTTTTGTTGAGATTATTGGTGGACGTAAGTTTTCAGCTTCTTGGGAGGAAGGTATAGCTCAAGTGGTAGAGTACATGCTTAGCATGCACAAGGTCCTGGGTTCAATCCCCAGTACCTCCTCCAAAAAATAAATAACTAAACCTAATTACCTTCCCTCCAAAAAAAAAATTTTTTTTCAACTTCTTTGGGTAAGTATGAAGGAGTGAGTTTGCTGGATTATATGGTAAGAGTGTGTTTAGTTTGAAAGAAGCTGCCAAACTGTCTTCCACAGTGGCCATACCATTTAACACTGCTACCAGCAATGAGTGAGAATTCCTTTTGCTACACATTCTTACCAGCATTTGATATAGGCAGTGTTCTAGATTTGGGTCATTTGTTTTTTTTTCTTTTCCCTTTGGGCTATTCTAAGAGGTATGTTTGTGTGTGTGTGTGTGTGTCTGTGTGTGTGTCTGTGTGTGTGTTTAAGTGAAAGCAAGTTTATTTAGAGAGATACACACTCCATAGGCAGAGTGGGGTCTGTCTCACTCAGAAGGGAGAGTGGCTTAGGAGATACACATTCCATGGGCAGAATGCGGGCCATCTCAGAAGGCAAGAGAGAGTGACACCTATTGTGTTGTTTTAATTTACATTTACCTGATGACATGATGTGGTGCATCTTTTCACATGCTTATTTGTCATCTGTATATCTTCTTTGGTGAGGTATCTGGTAAGGTCTTTGGCCTGTTTTTTAAATCAAATTGTTTTCTTAATTGCCGAGTTTTAAGACTCCTTTGTATACTTTGGATAACAATTCTTTACCGGTTTCGTCTTATGCAGCTATTTTCTTCCAGTCTGGAGCTTGTCTTCTCATTCTCTTGACATTGTCTGTCACAGAACAGTTTTAAATTTTAATGAAGTCCAGCTTATCAGTTCTTTCTTTCATGGATCATGCCTTTGGTCTTGTATCTAAAAATTCACCGTCATACCCAATATAGATTTTCTCTTACATTATTTTCTAGGAGATTTAATAGTTTTCCATTTTCCATTTAGATCTGTGATTCATTTTGAGTTACTTTTTGTGAAGGGTTCCAGGTCTGTGTCTAGATTCATGTTTTTACATGTAGTTGTCCAATATTTCAGCACCATTTGTTGAAAAGACCGTCTTTGTTCCATTGTATTGCTTTTGCTCCCTTGTCACAGATTAGTTGGCTGTATTTATGATGGCCTTTTTGGGGGCTCTCTATTCTGTTTCACTGATCTGTTTGTTCTTTTGCCAGTACCACACTGTCTTGATTATTGTAGCTTTATAGTAAGTCTTGAAGTCAGATAGTGTCAGTCCTTCTTGAAGAAAAACATTGTTCTCCTTCAACACTGATTGGCTATTCTGAGCCTTTTCCTTGTCTATATAAACTTCAGAATCAGTTTGTCAGTATCTACAAAATAACTTGCTGGGATTTTTAATCAGATTGCATTGAATCTATAGATAAACTGGGAAAGAACTGACATTCTTGATAATACTGAGTCTTCATATCCGTGAACATGGATTATCTCAGCAATTTAGTTCTTTGATAGTTCATCGAGTTTTATAGTTTTCCTCATGAGATCTTATATATGTTAGATTTATAACTAAGTATTTAATTTTGGGGGTGCTAATGTGTATGATATTATTGTGTTTTTAATTTCAAATTCTACTTGTTCATAGCTGGTATATAGGAAAGCAGTTGACTTTTATATATTAAACATATATCCTATGACTTCACTGTAAAAACACTTACTAGTCCCGGGAATTTTTTTGTTGATTCTTTGAATTTTCTACATAGACAGTCATGTCATCTGTGAACAAAGACAGTTTTACTTCTTCCTTCCCAATCTGTATGTCTTTTATTTCCTTTTTTTGTCTTACTGCATTACTGACAAGGTACTTCCTACTTCAGGGACAAAGCCTCAACAGAACTGATCCAGAAAAAGTGTTCTTGTTGTGCAGGACTTCTTGTTGTACAGCCCAAAGACTGGCAGCTGGTGTTTATCCTTTCCCTTCAAGGCTCAGAGGTTAGCAGCTTTATAGATAAGGGCAATCCTGATCATAAACCCAATTTTAGAGTTAGCCTGTCCCTTTCTGCCTTGTATCCTGGTGCTCGTTTCTCTTCCTTACTAGTAAGTGTCCTTTGTGATTTTTTTTTTTTCAGAATAGGATACTTTCATCTGCATTAAAAACCTGTTCAGGCAGATATCCTTTCTCAGTTATTTTCTTAATGGCATCTGGGAACTCGTCAGCTGCCTCTTAGTTGGCAGAAGCTGCTTCTCCAAACCTCTTTCTAAGATTATCTAACCTTCCTTTGCTGGTATTAAACTCTACAGCTTTAGCTCCTCCACCTTCTTTTAGCATTAAGTTGTCATATAATAACTTTGCTTTTTCTCAAGTCATATTAGAGTCTATAGGTATGCGTTTCCTATAGCAATCCTGTACCCACATAAAAGCTGCATTTTCAATATGAGATAAAAAGGCATTTCTCAAAAAGGACAAAGTTTTTGTGCCTGCTGGCATAGCTGCAGTCACAACTTCATGAATTTCCTCTCTTTTTTAAACAATGAATGGCCCTTATTCTGGATTCATGTATCTTGAAATGACAGCAACTAAGCTGCAGGCCTCAATCTATGGTGCATATCAAGCAGTTCAACTTTTTTTTGTAATGTCATGACTTTGCTTCTTGGGAGCACACCCAGCATCACTAGTGGCACTTTGTATGGGTCCCCTGGTGTTATTCAAGGGTTTTGGTATTGCACTAAACACAAAAAATACACGAGAATTGAGACATCACTTTTTAAAAAATAACTGAATTATAGTCAATTACAATGTGTCAATTTCTGGTGTGCGGCATAATGTCCCAGTCATATATATATATACACACACACACATACACACACACATGTATTCGTTTTCATATTTTTCCTTAAAGGTTATTACAAGATATTGAATATAGTTCCTTGTGCTATACAGAAAAATTTTGTTTTTTATCTACTTTTATATATAGTAATTAACTTTTGCAAATCTCAAACTCCTGAATTTATCCCTTCCCACCTCCTTTCCCCTGGTAACCATAATATTGTTTACTATGTGAGTCTTTTTCTGTTTTGTAGATAAGTACAATAGTGTCCTCTTTTTTCTTTCCTTTTTTTTTTTTTTTTGGTTCCACATATGAGTGATATATAATATTTTTCTTTCTCTTTCTGGCTTACTTCACTTAGAATGACAGTCTCCAGGTACATCCATGTTGCTGCAAATGGCATTATTTTATTCTTTTTTTATCACTGAGTAGTATTCTATTGTATAAATATACCACAACTTCTTTATCTAGTCATCTGTCAGTGGCCATTTAGGTTGCTTCCATGTCTTGGCTATTGTATATAGTGCTGCTATGAACATTGGGGTGCATGTAGAGACAGATAATTTTTTACTGCAATATGCAATTTACTGGAGAGAAACTGCTCACATGGAGATGATTAGTGTCACATGGCATTTTAAGTGGACACTTGCAACGCTTGAGCTCAATAACAACAGGAGGTGACTATGAAATTATTACAGTGGTACAATGTGTACTACAGTTAATTTTATGCAGTTATGATTTATTACTGCATCTTTATACTTGTTTACATTACTCTTGACTGAAAATGGCACCATTTATAGTTTATAAGTGTTTGTGTGTGTAAGTTTTGATAAACTAACTTTTAAAAATGGGTTTGTACATATTTTATGGCAGTAAATGATAAACTAGGCAAATATAAACATATATTTTATGCACTCATGACGTACTTAACTTTTCCTAATTTTTTCAATATTTCTAGGCTGTGCAGTTCATCTATGAGTTATTTTCAAACTGTTGCAAATCTCCAAAATAGTTTCCAATGTATTTATTGAAAAAATCCACGTATAAAAGTTCAAACCTACC